GGACGCACATGTGCGTTATTTTGAGTCAAATAGGCGATTTTTAAAAAAGTGGCAATTTCGAAATAACGCACATGTGCATTATTACACGCAAATACGGTACACAACAGAATGATAATTTATACAATCTATGCTTTTTAACTGTATATGGAATTAATATAATGAACTCTTATAATATGTATCAATATCGAGCATAAAAAATAGGGAAATTAATATTAGGGTCTAAAAATTTAAATAATTATAAATAAGGGCCCAAAGTTGAAATAATTAGATGAGGTCCAAATTTTGAAAAATATTACCAAATTTATCGTAACTAATTAGATTGAAAGTTTTAACATTTTTTTTTTGATAGTCAAACGTACATATTACCTTTTACTTAGTATTGCATTTATTCTCTTAACATTTTGCAGGTAAAAATTATAAAATTTCTCTACAAATCCTGGTGAGTTTTGTAGACCTAAATATCTTCGATTAACGCATAGTAACCTTCACAAAATATGATTCGTATAGGATAGATATGTTAGTTTAGAAGCGAATAAACATTACAAGATTGATAAGTATTAACCTAGTTGAATTGTAGTCATACATATACCAGGTGTTTGATAAGTCCCTGGACAGGACCTTTTTGTTAATCACTTAAAAAGTTTCAAGATAGGACCTTTTTACTAATAAAAAACGTAATAGTTTTGATAATTAAAGTGATCAATAAAAACATCCTGTCTAGAGACTTATCAAACACCCGGTATAGTGATAACTCCAAAGAACCATTATCGCAATAATGCAAAGTTATCTTGGCCCTTTATTGTAAAATTTTTCCAAATTTGGGCCCTTATATGTAATTATTTTTACTTCTTTATTTGTAATTAATTTCATTTTTCGGGTTCTTATATGTAATTTCCTAAAAAAAATATATATAGTATGTACGTACGCACATACACAACAACTGCTATAAATTTGTAAATGAATAACAAAAGATTACATTATAAATTCTTGTAAAATTTATTGGTTCTTGAACCATAAATTTAATATAACATATAGCACGCTCTGCAGTCTTTAATGGCTGAACGAATAAGCATGAAAAGAGTACCGTATAATTTTACGATAATTTATTTTGGATCTAGAAATATCCCTTATTTCGAAGTAATACGCAGGACAATTAATTAATGGTATGTATTTATGTAATAAATTCTAATTATTTTAATTTTTTTTATATAAACGTAAAGCGCCCAAACCATTTTTCTGTCTTAAACACTTACAAATTTTAGTAAATTTTTAACATAATTTAATTTAATCAATATGAATCGTCAAACTTTTAATTCTTTTTTATTTGTTCTTTTATCGATTTTACTTGCATTAACTATTATTGTTAATGCCCGTATTAATATACCTATTAATAAACATGCTAATAAACATGCTGATAAACATGCTAATAAACATAGGCCTGTAAAAACTAAATGCTCAACACCAACACCAACACCAACATCGACATGTTGTTAATCACGTGGTAGTCCAGGGTGGGATGACAAGTTTCATGCAATTAGTAGTAATGCATCTATAGATACTAGTAGTACTACCGCGCAAGATTGCTGTAAAGCATGTATAGTGGATCCGGATTGTTTTCAATGGTATTTTATTGATGGTGTTAGATGTGTCTTGGACTACGGTGATGTTTGTTTAAACGAAACCAGTACGCCAAGCGTAGATAGTGCAGAAGGTGGTGTTATTCGTTGTAGTGATGGCAGTGGCAGTGAGTGTAGATTTTAATTTATTATAAATTTATGTTAGTTATTTGTAGTAAAATAAGATTTACATGTATTAAAACTACAAATTGAGAGAATTTAAAGATTAGATCCACTTATTTGAGTATTTAATTGTTATTATTTTTCTTTTTTTTATGTTTTAAAAAAAATTATTTTTGTGTTCATCGCTTTTTATTTAATTGCAGATTTGATTTAAAGTAAATAATTTAAATATTAATTAAAAATTTACCAAAATTATAGTTTCAATAAATATTTAAATTTTTTATCTATTAGTTACGTAATTTTTAATTATAACTAGCACATGATCAAATGGCAGCTTCGTCACCCAGTTTTAAATAACTATTAATTAGATATAGTAAGAAGCATAATAAAAATAAGACATTGCCAGTAATGTCTATCATAAACTTAAATTTATCGACTCGATTAGGCTAATACTTAAAAATTGGCTTAACTAATCATACCTGTATACCAAGTCGATTGCTTGTAGTGTATGTTTAAATTTTCTTAAAAATTTTCCAGCACTCATATTTTTATTAATACTGTATTTCCGAGTGGTATTTCTACTAATTTCTTCACTTGGCCTTGCTTTACAGCTATTTTCATAATTTCTGGAATACCTGATAAAAATTGACCGAATGATTTTTCGGTCAATCCGGTTAAGTTATTGATTTTGGCTGGATACCGGATTTTGGGGGCACATAGATGCCACGGGCATTCTCAAGTAGCATGCATAATTGGAAGAGATCA